AATAGCAGAGACTTGTTTGAAGTGACATTGTGGTTTTCTACAAGTTGCTTCCCCACTTCAAAAGATTTGCTTTCAAAAAAAACACCTTTTCGTGTTTAATGAGGATTACAGAGTAGAAGTGGAAAAGACCAACTTTCCTACTCAGACTGTACTGGATAGCTGAGCTTCAAATACTTCGTTTACAGAAATCTTGCTGAAAATTAGCCAATGGCTGTTTAAAAAGTGCTGAAGTTACAGGTTTTGAAGTTTCAGTCATGCAATTGCGGGTGTTTTGTGAAAGAAGAAAGGCTTATTAGACTTTTCTATGAAGGTTCAACAGGGTTTCTGAGACTTTTCATTGTATTTCAGCACTGTGCAGAAATTAAGGATGCTACAGGCAGAGGAGGGGTGAAAAGGAAAAGGACTTTGTGCTCCTTCGAGGAGAAGCACACATTAAGTAAATGTATTCTTCAAGATGTTAAGTTTAGGTGATTTGCTTTGGTACAGCCTTCCTCTTTAGTTTGATCTCGACAGAGATGCTGCAGAAATGTGGTTTTGTAAGTTTTTAGTCATTTCATCTGCTGTCACAGTCTCTGGATATACATGGACCAGTCTTCAGTGCAAGCACTTGAAGTGTGAGCTGTAGATGAGACAAGTAAGACTCAAGGTAACTTGGCTGTGTTGAAAAAATAATTTTTCCAGATCCTCATGCAGAGCCTTGTGTTTCCCATTGGGTGCTGTGATAGACCTCGCTGCACCTGATGAGTAAAAGAAAGCTTTACGGTACAGCTGGAGGTTTTCTAGGCATATCCTTGCTGTCTTTCACTAAGTCTCATTGCCTTGCACATCTGGAACAGCTTCCCTGGGAGCAGCAGCACCAGCTGGGAGGTTCCACCGTTCCTTGTAAGGCTGCTACATCTGCCTGGCAAGGCCACCCGTGTTGGAGATGGCATTTCCACAAACCAGGCTGCATGTTTGTGCTCCTTCTTTTGGGTCACGGTACAGAATTTCTGTTACTGGATGAAGTCAAGAAAAGCACCAGCAGGAAAGCAAGAATATTTCCCAACTGTACAGTGAATCTTTCTTGATCAGTTACCTTTGTGAACATGAGCCAAACTGGTACAACTTGACCTTCAAGACTGGCACCTTCTTCTGAGGGAGACTAGTCTGATAGACCTTTAGCTGAAATCTGCACTTGGCTTGTGCCTGTGATGGCAAAGACACCCCACAGACAAAAACAAGTAGCAAGTGGTCATGCTAGGTGGCCTGGCCGGGACAACAGAGCTGCAGGCAGGAAAAAAGCCTCATTTTTTTATCTTAGAAGTAACCTGCTTTAGAAGAACCATTTTCTAGATCAAAATATAGAGACCTCTTGTAAGATTCATGCTTCTCAGTCAATAGTGCATGTCTTCTCACCTGTTTTTCTTGGGTCAGATTGTAAACCGTCTCTGAGAGCAGGCTTTGGTGCTGCAAGCTGTGATACTGTGGGGTTTTTTTGCTGTTTGGATGACTTAGATTGGGCGTTTTTCTCATACCTCTAAACTTCACTTAAAGCAAAAATTTCCTGTCCTAAATCAAGAAAGCAGGATAGGACAGGAGCTGAAAATTGGGGCTTAATTGGTAGACAAACTTGGGTATCTGTGGGTGTCCCACCTGGCTTAGAGCAGCCAGGGCAGGGTGGCACAGACCTCTCCTGGGCCATGTCAGGTGTGTGCTGGCTCTGCGAAGCATCTCTGTAAGGGTTAAATGGTCATGTTTAGGCAAATGTAGTGAGATCCCGGTCTGAGCTAGGTGGATTTGGTATGTTGTAAGGTAACTCTCCTCCTGTCTCTTCCAGGATAACTGTCCTCCTTGACATGAAATAATCCAATATTCACTGAGTAGGCAAGAGAAATGGTTAAGTTTATCTTAATACATACATACAGATATGTATAAGTGTATGAAATACTCATTTAACTGGGGATCTGGTGTGCTGGTATTTTACTACTGGGTCTTGAGACACATTCTTTCTCTCATGTGCTCAGTAAATAGCACATTAATAGTAAATTAACTCTGGATGTGTGTATATAGACATAATGTGCCAAACAGTCTCAGCTTCCTTTATCTATTCTCTTCTTTCCTGTGTGTTTTCTTGATGACAAACCAACTGATCACTTGATTATTTAAGTGTTAACTGTTCACCTCTTCTCATAGACTGGCTTTTTTCTATGCTTTTCATTCTTGCAGCTGTGGGGAAAAGTCATTCTGGTTACACAAGGGCTTTGCCTTCTACGTGTTACAGCCCAAAGTAGAGGTACCTGGCTGCCAGAGACCAGTAAAGTGTTCCTCTTAAATGTGCTAATGTTAGAGTAGGTGAGGGGTGGAGCAGAGCTCATGGTAAAGCAGGCTCCTTTGAAATCACTGCCCTTGCTCCAGTGACTGGTCACTCTCCCAGTACGACTGAAGAAGCAATACCCTAAGGCTGCCCTGAGCTGCCTTCAAGTGCTGCTTGGTTGGATTTGAACTCTGTTTTCTTTTTGTCCAGGTCAGAATGGAGGAAAGCCATACTGTGGCAGGGTGTTTCCATGGATAAGCAGACCTCACTTACTCCTATTTTGCTGTCTAGGACTTTCAGGTAAGAATTCAGAGCTGCATTTAACTTAGTCTGTTGCTTTGTTACTTAAAACCTGGCTAAAACAAACCAGTACCGAGGGGTACCGGGACTGTCAGTTCAGGCTTTTCTTTCTCTGAGAAGATGACGGGAATGAATCCTGCTTTATTATAAATCTGAGAAGCACGGGGGGAGTTGGCACAGTTTTTTTATTTCCCAGTGGCTGTTTGGATCTTCTGAAAGTCACCTAAGCCAGTACTTGTTCACAGCTGTTTGGACCAGGTTCTGTGCTTTCAGTTGGCTTACCCTGAATGCCTTTAGGGAGCACTCTCTGCTGGTGTTGCTGGACTGCCAAGATGTGCTGCGGGGTCATTTGCAGTCCTGTTGTGAGTCAGTGTTCATCTTCTGTTACCTCTACAACAGGATGCACAAACAAGTGTCAAGTTGTCTTTAGGTGCGTGGTTCCAGAGTAGAAGCAGAGCCCCAGGGACGGAAAAGATCCTGTGGCTGTGAACTGAAGGGCTGTGTTGGGAGATGAAATGCAGTGTTGCCATGACCTCCTAACTTGTGACATCATGGCACTCTTAGGTTGATAAACACGGGGGTTTTGAAGATGAAAAGGTTTTTAAAACAAATTTCAGTCAACTTAGTACCTAATCAGTAAAATACTTAGCGGCATCTCGGTATGTGGCAGGAGTTTATTAGCTTCCTTTTGCATTTTGTGCAAGTTCCTATCTTTTTCCATGAAGGAGGGGGAAAAATGGTGCTTTTCACTGTTCATTTTCCTTAACTCTGATGTAAAATTAGAATTATTTATATCTCTATTCTCTTAAGTCTTGCTTTTCAGAACTTGGCCTCCACAAGATTGTGTTCCCTTTGGGACAGATAGTTTGCATGGGAATGATTATCCCCAAAGTACCTGTCCTAATGGCCCTTTTTTCAGTCATGGGATAAAATTCTGATTTGGGAATGGCAACTTTCGAGAGTGATTTAGGTGGCGTTGGGGTTTTTCAACTCAAATCCTGCACTGACTCATGAGGCCTTGAAGCAGCTCAGTGATGCAGAGCTGATGCTAAAATCATCAACCCGTTCAGCCTTAATCTGTCAGAGTTTCTGCAAGTGCATCGTAATATTTCTGTCATGCTATTTTGGGAGGCTTTGCATAAGTGTAAGCAGCTATTTAGGGAGAGCTTCTTCACTGTCAAGAAGGAACGAATATGTTTACAGACTTTTTCCTATGGAATCTCACTGAGTTGCAGTAAAATACACAGACTGCTGCAGGAAGAAGTTTATTTAATGTTTCTCTAACAAAGCTCCAATTACAGGAATAAGGTTTTTGCTGGTTTATTATTCTGATGATGTGTGAAGCCAGGTAAGGACTTTTCAGAACAGCTGTAGGCTTTACAAGAAACTTCTGGCAACAGTGAAAAAGAAATCAGCTACCCCAAAAGTAATGCTGGGCACTTTAAGCACTCATATAAGTGATGTCTCCACGGGCAGTACAGGGTGTGATGGGGTTAAGTGTAAGGTGCAAGACAGAAATCAGTGCCTTTTTTTGTTGAGGCTTTCTTCTATGGAAATACTGGTGCAAAAAAAGGGATTAATCCCTAACTAGGGTCCTGCTCTTGCAATTGTGTTGGCTTGATAGTATTTCTTGTGACTCTAAATGTAAAATGATGAACATGGGAAAAATTCAAGCCAGCTTGGGCTTGTTTTCCACCAGTAGCACTTGGAGCAGAGTTGGAAGAAGGCAGCAATATCAGAAAATGAGCGTGGAAACACCTAATGTCCTCAAAGAGTTTACTATTCCTGGCACAGCTGAGGTCTTGGCAGCTTTGTCAAATGCTTCAGGGTAGGGGTATCTGTTGGCCTTCTCTAGGTGTAGGAGAAAACAGTAAGCTTGCAGTTGTCCAAGTGATAGAGTAGTCTACAATGCCCAAATGCAAAATAACTTGGACATGTGAATTCTGTCTTATCCCTCATCTTTTCTTGTAGACCTGAAGGTTTATCAGACTTGTAATAATGGCCCAAATTCTGCCCATGTCATGCACGGGTCTCATATAAAGGTTGTGCAGAGGTTTGCTTGAGATGGCTCAGGGAGGGAAGGCAGTGCATGGACATTGCTGCTGATGTCTGTGGCAGCCTGGATCAGAGAGACTGATGGAAAACTGTCAAAAGACTGGTGGTTATGTCTGAGGCATGTAATAATGGCACTATGGATGTGTGCTGGGGATATAAGAACAGTTTGACAACTGTGAGCTGCTTCTGGGAGACAGCACTCATGTGATGTTGAAAACAATCTGAAGAAGCAAGTTGGCATTACTCTGGGAGCTGATAATTTGGACACTGTTGTCCAGGTACTAGGGTTCTATACATGGATTTTGGACAGGACACTGAGCACAACAGGGCATTAGCATGGCAGAGGATTGAGCTAATCGGCGTAGCAGGATGCCGGTGTCAGAGCTGCTTGCAGGATTTTCGTCTCCCCGTGATAGAGGAATGGGAAAGTTGTGGTGTAGCACTTGTCCCTGTTGTAGGTATAGCAGGTTTCGGGTTCCTCGCAGGAGGTGCTCTGCTGGGCCTGGTAGATCTCACCACCCAGTTCAATTTCTACGGGATCGCATTTTTTGCAGCTGGAAGAGATGGGGAATAGAAAAAAGGTCAAGAGGTGTGATGAAAACATGCCCCTGGTGAAACCCAAATCCTCCTTATTTATCTGCAGATCTAGCTAGGTGGGTACTGTGGCCCATCTAGGTTTTACACAGGAACTCCCAGCCAGATGATTTTAGTGTTGTCCAAGTGTTACTGGCAAGACTGGTCCCTAAAAGGGGGTGTTAGTGTGTAATTTGCTGATATTTAAGATATTTGACATGAACAGGGGTCAGAATGAAACATTCTCTCTAAATGTGAGACCTTTTAATGTGAATTAATCATGAAGATGATAATTTCTTGGCTTGCAACAGAATATTAAAGCTTGGGTCCATGAGAAAAACTGTTTTGGGGGACTCTGCCTCACCTTGTCTGCTGGCTTTCAAGCAGATCTTGGTGATGCTGTGAGCAATGCTGCAGAGCAGGGTAAGTGTTAGGAAATGAACTCGGTAAATAAAGCTACTTACAGTTCAGTCATGCGGTAGACAAAAGTGGTTCTGAGTGGGGACAAGGGGTCAGAGATGTTCTCTCGAGCCTTCAGGGGGACTCTGCAAAGGAGGGAAGAGAATGGCTATTGTGAAAACGGCTTATTAAACACGAGATCACTCTGCTGTAAAGGATTGTCAACTCTATTTGTGTTCTCCAGGTTATTTCCTTACCAAGCCCTTTCCATAGCAAAGCCCAGGAAGGGCAGATCTTGGCCCTTCTGTGCCCTCAAAGGCAGCAACTTGTCCTGAAACGATTGCAGCAAGTTCTGAAAGTGCTGCTTGCCAGGTGACAGGGCTGATAATAATTTCTTAAAAAAACCACCTCTGACCTGGCAGATGTGAGACCATCTTGCAGGATGTGGACAGATGTTGAGTACTTGATCTGTTGTGAGCTGTACCAGACCTCCTGCAGCTCTGAGATGGAACTTTGTCCATGTTTCCAAGAGAGACAGACACACTAGTGTAAGGTTTGTGTGAATAAAGGTCAAAATTCTAGTCTGGAACTGAGATCTGCCTCACAGGATTAACCTTTCTGGTAGTTTAGGCATTAATGAGTTTTCCCAACCTATAAAATAGCAGGCGTGCCAGCAGACCAGTGAGTCCAGTGTCATGGGCCCAATTTCCTTTCAGATGGGATCAACTGCAGAAATGTTACACCCTATTTCCTCAGACTTTTTTGTAAGTTTACCACTGGACCCTTAAAACATGAGGAGCTTTTTGTATCTGAGGGTACAAACACCAGCCAGGTTCATTTGAGCTAGAAAAACGAAAGAAAAGGAATTATTTTGTGAGACCACAGAAAGCAGCCCATGGGAAAAACTCTGCACATGGATGATGCCAGGAGATAAGAAACAATGCCAAGAAAAGCAAACTCCTGTACATCTTAATCTCCTGTTCACCATTTTTCTGCAACTGTTGTCTGCCACTTACATGATGCGTATGTTTCTCTCCAGGATTTCTTCATCAGGATTTTCTTTGGAGGGGACGAACTTTGAGGTCACTGTTACGCACTTGCACTTGTTATCGACCAGCACGTACTCCTTGTCCTCAGAGTAGCGTGGATAACCTGCAAGGACAAGATAAGCAATCCCAAGGTCAAGAAGAAAAACCTTGAAGCCTGAAAAGCCAAGTGATGAGAATGCTAGAAAAGCACCTTTGTAACATGTCAACTGATACAAGTCCAGGTTTCCACAGGTAGAAATGAGCCTCTGGGCAAAGATGAGTTCAGCTGTCTTCCCTGCTTGGTCCACAGTATGCTTTTCTATGTGGA